CTATTGGAAAAGATGGTTTTCGACCGCATCCTGCCGTTCATCGCTTTTTACAAACAAGACAATAGTGACTCGTGTTTGATGTTTCATCCCACTGGAATTGTTCTTGTAGAAATGCGCTCCTAATAATCAGAACACTTTCACCACAGCATTTTGCACTATAAGAGCATGATATTTTGATACGGTAGGATCAGTATCACGGTCATAGTTGTCGCTTCTTCTGCTTTTTCCCGATACTTCGCTTATTTTCGCTTTTTCATATTGCAAATTTGGTATACAAGAAAAACTTTTATTATTGAATAAATCATGATTACTAATGTGCACAGTTTGCCGTCATTCTTATTGATTGACCTGTTAACTCTGTGTAACAACATTAAAAGTTTTTGTATTCAAGAGAGACTCGATTTTCAATTCATATTCGTGGAGTAAAAACACCAATCTGCTTTCGACTGATAATGAATTTTGTTTATCTACTAATTTTGCGTGCTTGATTTACACAGAAAAATTCAAATCCGAACATCTAAAAGTTTTTATGGTCAATGTATAGCGAGATAATAAGTAAAGTAAAAATAATCATGAAAATGTAATAACAAAAGCACTAATACTACAATCAGATAAAAATAAAAACATGAAAGCTACAGTAGATGCTTTTGAAAAGAAGAAGGAAAAAAGTTTGGGTGAATGTTGATGTGGGTATGGATGCAGATGGCAGTGTGACGTGTCAAGGTTACTCAAACCAACATCCCACACCCATACTCCATCCTTCATTAAAAATTAGCATTGATGTTGTTGATAAAGATGAATCAAAATATGGATAATGATGAAATGGTTGAAGACAAGAAACTTGTAAAGATGATAATAAAGAGAGTATGAATGGGTTATAAATTTGAATAGGAGTACAATTGTTTATATAGTTCTTGATTTAACAATAGTTTAGTAACAAAAATCAAGAGAATATTAATGATTGTCACTAACCACTTTTTGTAAGTCTATTCAAGGCGAACAAGTCTTATTGTTAATATTGTTCAATAGAGATTTGATTGAATTACTCCTTGTTTTTGTAATGATTCTTTTTGTACAAATTTAAATTTCGTCATTAGCCTTAAGATGATCTCTAGATTTCGTATCTCTGTTTTTTTTCCTGTATAATTCTAATGATTTCATTCATAGGATAAACAGCTATTGTATAAGGAGATCATACGACATGATGAATAGCTTAAATGTTTCGAACAGATGAAAGTGTTAGTTGTTGTCTATAGACAAAGAGTAGAATCTTAATATTTGATAAATAACAGGTGGAACGATAACAAAATGAAGATTACTGATATAAAATTTTGATCATTTTTATACGAAGAGAACAATATTATACTTGAACCATCTTTGTTATAAGTAATTGATGATGTTAAATTTTCATTATATACTTTTTTAAAAGCTTGTAGCATTCTGGTTAACTATCGTACAGAAATTCAATTATATTGATCAAAGTTATCTTTTAAATTTCTTTAAATAACGATATTTTTTTCGCATGATCTCTTGTCATTTGTATTCAAAGGTAATCGGCTTATAATAATTATCTGCTTATTTTTGAGCAACTATATTAGAGAAAATAATAAATAAATATCAAAAATACAAGAAACAAGAAAAAAATGAATTTTGTATGAGAAAATGTTGAATTTTCAACGATGGTCAATTTTCATGTTGTGCATTTTATTGCTGTTGATGGATAGCTCGAATTTCGATAGATGTCAAACATTGTTTAAAAGCATTAAGCGCAGCTATACGAACTTGTCTAGATGCTTCTAATGACTTGTTATCAGGCTTATAAAGCAATACAAATTTAAGCCGAGAATAGATTTTGGATCCATGTTACTGAAATATAAATCGTATTGACTGATTTTTGAAATATATTGTCCATTGATCCATATTTGATAATTGGACTGTAGATCAATTCTGTTCAAAACAAGATGAATCCATCGATTAGCGATCGATATACATTTTCCATTGTAGAACTGATATTTTTCATTACTGAAGAGTGAAATGATCAGACCTTTGAGGTTAAAACTTCCAATTTCTATATCCAAATCACATTGACGAGGTAAGAAAAGCCAGAAAGAGAAAGAATAAGATGAGTCAGAGAGCGACGAAGAATAATAATGTGCAAAGAAATTTTCATAATCAGATGTATATGTTGAAATAGTTCGAGGTAGATAATCACATTCACTTGACTGAAAATTAGTAGGAAATAATGATTGATCGATATTTAATATTGACTTTCGTTCACCATTGCCGTAGTCAGAAGAGCAAGTTATAGAAAATGATTTTCGCAAGCCTTCCAATCATAGAGAAAATCATTGATTAAGAAAATATTCGTCGTTCATAATGTAAGATCGCCAACGACTACAGACGCAAGCCATTCGAAGAAAATCTAACGATTGATCAATATATTCAAGGATCTGATATAATAACTCGCATGGATTAGAAGTATAAATATGGTGATAGGATGGAGCCATAATTCCATTTAGACTATTTGAAATTTTTTTCATAATTGTCGACATAAAAATAATTTTCTCTCGTCGATTATTTGACGGATGAGCAACAATCGATTTGAATAATTTCATGAAATTATAATGAATATTTATACTTGTAAATATTCAACAAATTAAAAATAATCTATTCTATCAAAATATAACAAAAATTTATCAATTTTAATTTGAACAATTTTTATTATTTGATTATGAAATATTCTATCTGTCTCTAATGTATATTTGACAAAGAAATATTATGTTTATTTCGTTTGAAAATAAATTTTATAAAAACCTCTGATTAAAAATTCTTGTGAACGAAAGTAGACTCTTTTTTTTCTTAAGGTTTATTCTTTCAATATGGTATATCATTCTTTCGTTTGCAAATTTAAATGAAACATGTTTAGTGTTTAAGGTTATTTTTCTGAAAAGTCTTTTTATACCATAATGTTTATTTAGTATTTATTTCTTATGTTACAAGTTTTTCTATGATGATTAATTTCATCACATAACAGTTTTAGAAGAATAAATCGAATATCTAAACATTAATTTACATAACATCTTAAATAAATTAATCTAATACGATGCTTCTTTGATATTATCAGATTTCAATACGATTTTCTCTATTATCTCAATAATTTTGTTCATAAATGTTTTGCCGAAATTCTTATTAAGAACAACTGTGTGAGTGGTAGTAGAGGTGGGTGTGGTATTATATTGAAAATAGCACCCACACGCCACACTCACAACCACATCCTACTTATTTCTCAGAGATCGTGATTAGTTTATACAGTCTCCTCTAACTTTTGACGTAAAATTAAAGAAGTTTTTAATAGTTTATTATGCAGCTCCAGCAAAGAAGAGTCAGCTATCAACAACTTGCATTTCATTCATTTCTACGAGGAATTATTAGATAAGTATTATATGTATAGAAGAACAAAAACCTAATTTATATATTGAAAATTTTAAAATAATGATGGCATATTATGAACATAAAACTGTTAATAGATTCGTTCAGAAGCTGTTAGCCATGCTGGAGCAACAGTTCTTCGTCGACATTCTTTTATTTTCTGCCATATTATTTTCCATGTTTGAAAAAAACGAACGTCAAGTACAGTGATAAAAATTGGATCAGTTTTTATTGCTATATAATTGAGTAAAGAAATAAAAATGCCAGGTTCAGTATTAACATTAATAAATTGAAACGTAAGTATATTTGGACTCCATAATACAAGCCAAATTGAATAAAATATTATTGTACGGATTAAAAGATTTTTTTTATGTTTACGACGCAAATTAATTATTTGTTGACTATGAATACCTTTTATTGAACTTACATGACGAATACAAAATGTAATGACAATAAGATTCAAAGCAACTGGAATAATATAGATGATGAATAGATTAAATATCTCTATAGTTAAAGAACTGTATACTATATCGCAAGATTCGCCTTTTGTACGCAACAATATAGTCCAATTACAAAAAATTTGTATCGTGATATTAAGTGCTGGTAATATATAAATCAAAAGATGAGTTAAAATAATTAAACGAGGATTTTTTATAAAAACATTTCGATTAAATATAATTTGTGCACTACGACATATATTTAGCGCTAACAAAATATAACTTTGTACTATATTAGTATAAAATTTTGATGTTGCTTCAAAATAACATAAGATTAATTGAAATGTTGGATATAAACATACATGCCACTGACGCATAAAATAGAAAATAAAAAATCGAGTTAGAAGAAAAAAATCTGCTAGTAAATATGCATATAACCACATCATATTTCTTTGTCTTAATGATGAAAATAATATAACTTGAATCCAAAAAATAGTATGAATAAGAACAGCTATTGAACAAACGACAATAGTAGAACTGAGATTATAGACGGACTTCGACGACCAATTCAGAGAAGTACAATTCATTCTTTTTTTTTGCGACAACTATTTTCTATGAAAGATTTTGTATTCTGTAAAGAAAATTGTTCTGAAAATAAGTCACTTCGATAGTATTATTTTTGAATATAACGATTAGTATATGAGGATTAATTGTCATAAAGATAGAAAGAAAAATGAAATATCTACGATAATGATAAACTAGTTTAACATCATCATCGGTAATGATTTTTCTAAACATCCATGTCTTCCGAATGTGAATACTTCATATACAATACACGTTTATATAGGAAAGAGAAGAAGAGATGAGCATATGAAAGAGAGAAGAGGGGAAAAGAAAAGTTAACAGGAAATTATAGTATTATCGTCACAGCTATCTCATTATTATTATCATTGTTCATTATCAAATTTGATGATTTGATTTAGAAGAAGTCATAGTTCTATTTGAATCAGTACGACCTATCTTATTATAGATTCTATAACAGCGCAAAGAATGAGCAAATCTTTTAAAAAATAATAACATTTTTTAATGTTTTTGCTTGTAATGATATTTCTTGTTCCATTTACATGACAACAGACCTTAGTGGGTTTGAAATCTTGAAAATTTCAACCGAACTGACGAAGAATCTTGTTTTCTTGAATCTCATGAAGTATTACCGGTACTATGCAATTTATTGCATTTCGTTCATTATATTTCACATGATTGTCATCAGAATTTCTTCATTTTGTGTTAAAAGATAAATCCATGATAGAATTTCCTTTGAAGACACAATAAATCGAATATAATAAAAAATTCTCTCTTACATATCTAGTTAATTATACTATTTAATTTTTATTTTTGTATACAGTCCGATATAAAGTAGGGACAAAGTTTTTAAATACTTTTTTTCGTTTCTCCCCATCACAAACTGCTTGTAATGGGCGTCCAAATAATGATTTTGATAGCTTTCGAAAAGAGCTATGAATACATTATATCAAAAACATTAACGGTGAATCGATTCGATATTTATCACAGAAACTATTTTTGTCGTTATCGAAAAGTAAAAATCTATTAACTATAATAATCAAATATTTATTATTGTCAACAAATAGTCAGTCATGGAAAAATCTTGTCATAACTTAAACGATGCGACAACAACCTGAGGAAGTAACTTATCGCAACTCTTAGTACTAATTTTAGTTACATACTTCATAGCTCAAGAACGAGACTACATCACATATAATCTACGCTAATATAGAAGAGATCATGAGAGAGAAATAAAGCACATGGGTGAAAAAAATAGAGCAATGATAAGCAGGAAAGATGAAAAGAAGATCAATGGGAGGTGACATTAATGTCGGCACGAATGTCCTTAATTTTTGTCAGTAATTTCACCGATAATTTCTAACTATTTTGTTTGCCATATTGGCTAAGCTGTTTTCAACAAGTTGTATTTTCATGAATAGCACACTGTATAGAAAGTCGTCAAGTCTTTTTCGATAGAACAAACTGTGTTCTATAAAATGTGCTACTTTTCAGACGTCCGAAACTTCTTCTTGAAGCTCAATTTTTTTAATTAAATGAATGCTTCAAAAATTCCATTAAGATCGATTATTGTATAACAAAAAAAAAGAAGTCTTCTTTACGTTTAATGTTCTTTGTTATATTGTAGTTTAAGATTGAAAATTATGACAAGATTTTTCAACCTTCTCAAGGATATCCGATATTCTGTTGATAACCTGTACAATCGTGCAGATGGTGTGGGTATGGATGGCTATCTTGAGGGTGTGTGTGTGGGTGTAGGTCCATTTTATGTTTACCCACACCTATACCCACCCTCTTCATTTGAATCATTTTCATTGTATCGTTTTGTTTATTGACTCATTTTTTCGTTCTTGTCTATGTTTTTGCTAAAATTAACTGATATAATTATGTGAGAAAATGCATGCCAAACCCAGTCGACTAATAAAATACGTGTATAACTGGATGTAGATGTGGAGGTTGGCAAAGAGATCCAACGAATTCCCTATTGCTATACCCAAACTCGTAGTCAGGACGTGAGCTAAAGATCCCAGACGATTTTGGACTAGCCATGGTAGATGACTTTTTGAGAAAAAGACTTAACACTACGTATAGCCATGACTAGAAAAACGACTAGTCTTTTGTATCCGTCCTTTGCTCGCCTGAGTAGATATAGTGAGAATCAAACAGGTGATTTACAGTCCGTGTACGGTCGTCGTAATGATGAATCTGAGTTAATTTATTTTATAAATTATTTTTGTTGTGTTTATGAGTAACCAAGAAGAGGAAAGATCGTTAGTGATAAAAATAATATCATACTCTTCTTACTGAAGAGAATCTTGTTTGAATATGATGATAAATGAAGTCATAAATGACTATATGAGGTCATTTATAATGTTTATGACATGTATTCATGACTATTATAATCAAACGATACTCTTCAGATAGCAAGATTGATATTTATATTGATAGTGACGAATGCTATGTTGTTTGTCGAACGACACTTTAGTCGACAGATTTTTCGTCGAAGTAACTTTGTCGAAATTTTTTTGTAGAAAAGCATTTCGTCGAAAGTGAATTATTTTCTACTTATTTATCTCACAGTCAGGAGACAAGTTCAAAAGTATCTCCTAATTAATTTTGTTCCTTTGGCGATGGTGAAAGAATTTCAAGGCACTATTGAATAGAATTACATGCTTTTCGTCGAAAAGCACTTCAAGGCAAGGTTTGCAGTCCCCGAGACAATTCCGGATCCTTCAATTCTTCTACAGAACTGTTCAGAGTTAAGAGAACAATGAATTTTGTCTCACACTCACGTTTGTAGTGCCCTTGCTCTCACCCTTGCCTTTACCCTCACATTTGGAGTGCCTTGCATGGCTCTTGCCATCACAGTCGTACACACTCTCACTCACCCTTGCCTTCACCATCATGCTCACCCCCGCATTTGGAGTACGCCTACATGGTCCTTACCCTCACCCTCACGCTCACCTCACCTTTACATTTGGAGTACTCTCCATAGCCAAGAAAATACTTTCGACGAAAAACAGATATCTATCTGAGTTTATTGATGAAGTGCTTTGTCGGCGAAGTGTCGTGTCGACGAAATGTTTTTCGACGAAGTGTCTTGTCGACGAAACGCTTTTCGACAAAATGTTGTGTCGACAAAAATTTTTCGACGAACAACATGGTAACAATAGTGACATCTATTGTTTCAAAATGTCTAGTCGTCATTTTTCACACAAATTGTAATTCATCCTTAATAAAGATGATGAAATATGGAATGTGTTGGGCATAAATGTAACTTGACGGCTGAGGAAATATGAAGAAATTTATTTTGTAATAAAGTATAAAACCTGCATATTATTATAGATGTAAAATATATTTTTTTATATTCAATCATTCGTATGATTGTAACTGTGCATAACATCTTAAAAAAAACGAATTCAACAAATGACTATTGCGAATCATTCTACTGAATCTTGCTGTTTAAATGAAGATGATAATGAGAAAGATCGACGTCGAAGAAATTTATTAAATAATCCAAATTATGGAATAGTTCTTTGTTTTCTGGATAAATTTCGAAGTGTACTTAATTTACCGAATTATCCATTACAATGTTTTGAAGATCATCTTGTCAATTATCAAGAACCAAGTAAATTTATTTCTTTTAATAATTTATCTAGAATAAATATCTTGTGTTTAATTAAGATTCACCACGTCTTATTGACTTTCATTTTATTCTTCTCAAACGATTATCCTTAGCAAAAAATGCTCAACGTGACAAATTCGATTCAATTATTACTAAAGTAAATCAAATTCTTTTTTTCTTCATTTTTAATTTTTTGAGTTATTGATAGTTTGCTTCTCGATTTGATGTAAACGATAGTGAACATTTAAAAACAACTGGTTATTTACAAGCAGATATTAGTGTAAAAATTCGAATTATAAAAGTAAATAAAACTACCAATCACACAAGTTAAACAGACATTGTCGTAAATGACCATATACATGATTCTTTATTACGACCATATATCTTTGTGTCATATTCGGAGAAATATGGCGATTAGTAGAGTAAAAAGAAAACAATTGTTCTTTTACTCTTTTCGCATACACGGAAGCTATATACGATCGTAATACTGATCCATATAAAGTATGATAATATAAGGTCTTATACGATCTTTGATAGCCCGATACAGACTGGATCTGGTTAATGAAGTTTAATATAAATCTTATTTCTAGAATTTACTTGAAAGACAATTTGATGTAAATCAAATCTTAAAAAATTCATTAATTGATAAATCAGCAGATGAAATAAAATCTTCACCATTAGGTCATGATCGTTTTGGTATTTCGTATTGGTTTTTTATGGTATGTATATTTATATGATATGATGATGAAGATCTATATTGAATTATCATAGGATAAAGATTGTTTTGTACGATTATTTCGTGAAGATATTGATATTGATCGGACATGGACTAATATTGCTAAGTGAGTTGAAAATTATTATAATAAAAAAAATCTATTTAAATTTGCTTTTGTAGAAATCGAGATGAATTAGAAAATTTTATTAAATTATTGATTACAGATTCTATTGTACGAAAGAGATTTGCTGGTAAGAAAAATTAGAAATTTAAATTTTCTATCGATGATTTTACTATACAGATTGGATTGTTGATTATGAACAATTTTCTTCTTTACAACCATCAAATGATTTTGAACAATATTATTCTCCTACTCCAGTCAATGTAAACGAAGAAGAAGAAGAAATGAATAGAAAATGTGGACGACGGAAACCTTCGAAAAAATTATCAAACAATAAAATAGATACAGAAATAAAACAAGAAGTTAAAACATCAACTCGTCGAGGTAGAAAACGAAGTTTTTCTGTTGAAGAAAATCAAAATCCACAAGCAGAACCATCTATGGATGATGTTTGCTCGTCAATACGTCGATCATCACGACTTCGAAAAGCATCAACTTCTCTTGTTACTTCTAAAACTATTTCACAGGTATGAAGAAGTCATTACTCATACCAGTAGGGCATTGCACTGTTCCAGCGCCTAGTTCCGTAAATTTCCAACAGGTTCTTG